TTAGAAGGCCACTTTTGTGTAAAATCAGTTTTCCTATTTGGTCGATTTTGTGTTTAGATGATCAGCGGGGAGAGTTCGTGACCAGTATGTTTAGCTAATATTAGAAAGATTATTTAAAATATATTTAATATATTTTTAATTATTTTAGATAATAATTGCTTTTGCATATTATAAAGTTTTAAGTATTTGATAAATTGTATATATGATAGATGTGTTTAATATAAGAAAAATAAAGATAAAATTAAGTATAGTACAAAGAAATAGATTAGTATGATACTGATAAAAGATATTTTTTATACTAATTTTCCTTCTATTAAGTTGATATGAAGTTGTAATTTTTTTGTTATTCAAAAAGATAATTATATTATTAAAAAAGATTTTTTTGCATTGTTGTTTCTGCTTTTAGTAGAGCTAAAAATATTGTTAAGATTTTGTTTAAAATATTATTTTTGTTTATTATAATATAGAAATTTGTTCTTACTATTGATACTATAAAGATTATTGTAAGCATTGTAAGCATTATATAAGTTACTAATAAAAATGTTTAATTAGTAAAATACTAAACAAGTTCATTATATTAAAATAAAAGTTGAACAAATAGTATACTGAGTTTGTTTATTTTTTTGTAATTTAAGTTTAAGATTTAGTTCTTTTAAAAAAAAGTTTGTTTTATATGTTCTTTATATTTTTTCTTATTTGTTTTTAAATACTTGTATAAATTATTAAGTAATATAATACTTAATAGTTAAAAGTACTAGTTTGTAATTTTGTTTAAGTTGATTAGCTTTGTATTAAGAATATAATTATGTAAAATTTGTATAAATTTTTTTATACTAGTTGACTTGAATTTTGAGTTGTTTTAGTTTAGAGTTTTTAATTTTGCATCTAAAATATAAAATAAGTTGATAGATAAATACTATAGTATTTGATTTTAACTAAGTTATTGTTAATATTTATTTTATTTTATTTATTTTTTTTAAAATATTAACAGTGAGGTTATGTTTTTAATTTTATTGAAATTCAATTGAAGTTTTTACAAAGAAAAGCTTGTTTTTAAATTACATATAAAGAATAAAAACTTAGACATATAATCTGTAATCTAAATTTACAAGAATGGCTAAGACCCACCTAGATTTGGGTTTGAGTAATACAAAAGAGAAAAATATGATATTTAATCTGTTGGATAGTCCAAAAATCAATTTTAGTAATAATTTGTAGTATTAAAATGGAAGATAAAGGTAAACTAGAAGAAGAAATATGAGTTAAGTTAGTGCAAAGTGTGATTTGAAACTGTGCAGAATGTAAAATATAGTATAAGATTCATATTTGTTTGTATATCTGTTAGTTTAAATAAAGAAGAAGTTTAATAAACAAAATAGTAGCAGTATAATAAGAAATAAAAAGTAAAAATAAGATTAGTAAAAACTAAATCAGATAAGACAGAAATAAGAGAAGGTATATATAAAAGGTTGTACAGTTTAAAACATAAAGTGTAAGAATTTTAGTATATAAATTAAAGACAAGATTGGCAAACAAAAGTAGTTGTATTTAAAATACTATTAAGAGAATTATAAATTAAGTAATAAATTGTTGAATTTTAACTCAAAAGGTTTTCAGAATAAATGAATAAAAGTTGTAGACAAAATTAAAGATTTTTTGATTATTGTTAATGTAGCTTTCAAGTTAATATCAGATACAATAATAAATCATTATTGAAAATGATGTTAACTTTACAGAAACATTGGTTTTTTACTAAATATATTTATTATATAATAATTATATATTTATTATAATATATTTATAATATTATTTTTTAAAAATATAATTAATATATAATAAAAATATAATAAAAATATAATAAAAATATAATAAAAATATAATAAAAATATTTATTTATTTATATTAAATAACTTGTAATAGAAAAAAAAAATCTCTCTCTTTCTCTTTACTCATGTTTAGTAGTAGAAGAAAAATAAAACAAAAAACAATTAAACCTTTATTAAAATCTATTAGAAACTATACCACAAGAGCTAAATCTCTTGTGCTGAAGAAAAAAAAGTATCTATGCACTAACATGCTACCTCCCCCTTTACTAAGTTATCTGAAATGTCTGTGCCTTACAAAAAAATCAGAACTTCTAATATTTATAAAGAAGAAACTAGTTTAAGCTTAGACTCTTCTAAGAGCTTGTTAGAACAAACTAAAGTTCAAGTTTTAAATAGCCAGAAACCAAAAACTTTATCAACACAAAAAGCACAAGAAGCATATATAGTAATAGACTTAAAAGTTAGCAAAGCACTAAACAAAGAAAATACTGATCTCGAAAAAAATGATGATGCTTTGTTTATATCTGCTAACAACATGTACACAGAGGTAACAAAATAAACCAAACATATATCTCATAATAGCAACTCAGTTACATCTTAATCAGAAGCTACAACTAATCAATCAAAACAAGGCAATGGTTCGATCTTTTTTCTAAGTTGGAAAGAAGAAAAGCTACCTACTCTATATTTTCTTTCAAAAAAAGAATTTATACTAAAAATAAAAATGCTTTAATTTTTGAAACTCAAAATTTAGAAAACATATCTACAGCAAATATAGTTAAAGCAATAGCAAAAAAATTAGGTAACAGACTTATAGCAGTAAGACTGATAGTTACCAAAAGCAGAAGAACTTATTTAGAAGTTATCTTTTCTGATAAAGACCAGTAGCAGTACTATGCAGCAGAAGAAATCTCAATCTTTAAGCAGTCCCTTCAGAGTTACATTCTTGTTAATATTAGATGAAGCTTTCTTTCAGTAAGAATTAAAAATATACCAATGGGTAAAAAAGATTTTATCTCTGAAAAAATCAAAGAAGCTTTTCAAGATGTAGGCACAATCTTCTCTATCAAACCTTTAGTACACAAAGGCACTTTAGTTCTTTTAGATCAATAGGTAATTATTTTTAAGACTACAGATAATCCAGACCTAGCAAATAGAATTCCCAGATATACATATATTTGGGACCACAAAGTAGTTACAGACTGGAGAGAGGCTTCAAAGTTATGCTACTTTTGTGACAAAGTGGGTCACATCAAAAAAGAATGCACTGAGTACATAGCTTCAGTAGAACTTAGAGCTATGCAAAAAACATATAGATTACAAAGATTTCAAAACAAATTTACCAAACATTAAACCTTTGAGTTAGAAGACTTTAGTGCAGATAACCCTTATATTAAAAATAATAATAACTTAGATGCTAACAATGTTAATGAGCAAACCTCAGTAGATATGAATCTGGATAGTCATATCAAAATAAATCAGTCTCAGATTAAAACTGAGACAGCTGAAAAAGAATCAACCAAAGATACTTCAAAGAAACTAAACAATTCTTTATTGGAAAATCATATCATAGATACCAACATAATAGTAGATCTACTGACTACTCTTTATGATAACTCCAAGGTTGCTAAATCCTCTTTCCAATTGGTGATGTCAAAGAAAAAACACAAAAGTAAAGCAAAAGTATCAAATGCAGAAAGAAACAAAGTTATGAGTCTAAATCCTAAAAAGAATCCTGGTCTCAGAACCAAAAGATCTTAATCTAACTTGCCAATCTCAATTTTTTAATATTAATGATTAAACAAATTACAATTGCAATACTTAATGTTAAAGGTTTAAACAATTCAGACAAAGTACAAAAAACACTGATCATACTTAAATTATATCATTTAAACATAATTATGTTACAAGAAGCAAATTTAAAAAACAATAACACAAGAAATTTTCTCTCACAACAATGGGGATACAGCTCTTTACAAGGAATTTTCTCTTACAACAATGGAGATACAGCTCTTACTGGTCCTCCAAAACAGCAATATTAGCAGAAAACAGAAACATTTTATTTGAAAACATTATAGAATCTCAGAATAGCCGTATTATCATAGCAACTTTCCTATACAAAAACCAACTATTTCTCTTGAACAATGTTTATACACCACCAAATATAGAAGATAGGCTTAAATTCTTCAATAGTTGGACTCCTCTAAGGGATGATGGATGCATTAATATTTTGGCTAGAGACTTTAACATGAACCTGAATCCACAAAAAGATCGAATCAGTCATGCACCTATTACTTATGACCCTACAAGAAATCTTCTCAAAGAACTTACAACTGAGTTTACAGATACTGCATCACTGTCTGAAAATGATTATTCTTTTTTAACCTATTACCAGAACACTTATTGCAGGTCACAGAATGGCTACAAGGCTTGATTACATCTTTATAGATAGTGATCATAGTAGCTATTATAAAAATGTAACAACACAATTTGGCAATTCTAATCATTTAATAGTAAAATATGAAATACACCTCTTACTGGAAAACTCTAAAGCAAAACAATAGAGATTCTGCAAAAATAGCTGGAATAATAACCTGCTAAAAAAAGAAGTAATCGAAGAACTCCAAAGTATTACTAATTTCTCAAAATGGGACTTTTGCAAATGCAGAATACAATCTATAATTAGAGCATTCAGGCCTAATCCTACTTCAGAAAAAAAGATTCAAAAGCTTCAAAAACAACTCTCAAAGCTAAATAAGAAAGCTGTTAATAAAGAGAATCCAATAGCAGCTTTATCACAAATAGAAAATATTAATCAACAGCTTCAAGATAAGCTAAAAATAGCTAGATTCATTAAAGGAATCTAAGCTTTATATATGTAAATAATATAATGTATTTTTAGTATAACCTAATAAAAGCAT